ATTTGAATTTGTTGTATTTTATTACCTCCATATTTGCTTTTTGCATTTTGCTGGAATTGATTATCAAAAAGTTTCGGTTTAAATAAAAAAAAAACATGGATAAGAAGTCCTTTGACATCGTCTTGGATGAAATCAAAAAGGTATGAAATTGTTTTATTGTTTATTATTGTGAATTACTACTTCTACAGCACTTCCTAACTTTGTATTCTTATATAACAGTGTGTCCTGACTGACCAGAGGATCAGAGCCATTGAGCAGGTGCATGGATATTTCTCCAGTGAGCAGGTATTGAACACTGCTTTCATGTTTTGATAGTTTGTTTGCAGTGGGTGTCTGTATATATTTTATTTTTATCTCTCACGTTTAAACATAATCAGTGATTTGTTCTTTATTTTCCCAGTCATTAAAACAGTTAATATTGCTGTTGTTTTGGTGTGTAATATGTGATCGTAGTAACTAGAGAAAAACATCACTTGCTCAAATTCTGACATATTATCACATTTTTCTACACTAATTTTGTACCAGAGCACTCTATTTGTAATGTCTGATGTAAGCTTTAACAACGCTTTGAATGTCTGCAGGTGATTGAAATCTTGAAGTATTTCTCATGGGCAGAACCTCAGATTAAAGCAGTGAAAGCTCTACAGCATGTAAGTAATATTCGAGTTAGTCAGACCCCATAGTTCATGGTGGAAAAAGATGCCCTTACATTAGAAAATGTGATTAACCATAACATTTTGTACAATTAACCTCATCTTGTCACATCTCAGTTATCTTTTAGCAAAACATGCATCTTTGCTGATCCTGATATATTTTTAATCATCTCCTGACTGTTTAAAGCTGTTTAGTTGGAAATCAGGGGAACAAGTTCTGCCATTTAATTTTAAAGTTATGTCAGATTTGCGTATAACTAGGAATTGTTTTTATGGAAATGATGTAAGCATTTTTCATGGTATGTTCTGCACGTGTTTCTCTTTCTGGTCCTTTTAGAAAATGGTTGCAATCCCCACAACCAAAGTTGCAAACATCCTGAACTGCTTCACCTTTTCGAAGGACAGACTTGTTGTTCTAGAACTGATAGCTTTGTAAGTACATTTATAAAAAGTGAAGTTGGTCAGAAGAACTTTTGTTTAATTGACATCGGAGCAGGCCAGTTTGTAACCCAGTTTCTTTTCCTGCACAGAAATATTTCAGATGCTCAGAATTATCGTCCTGTGGAGGACCTGTTTCGCATTCATTTGTCTGAGAAAAAGCGCGCTCGTAGAATATTAGAGCAGGTACGTAAATTTTCTGGTGTAATAAAATGACAAACTGCTAATCTTATCAGCCAAAAAAAGAACACAGTTATTATTTTTATACTATTTTTTTGAAATTATATTGATTTACATTTTGTTTTGTATTGCTTTTCATACTAAATTTGCCTTAGCATAGATTTTAAAGTACTTATACCTCTGTCTTGTTAGGTGTGTAAGGTTGGCTGTAAGGCTCCTGTAGCCATGATTTCATCCTGTGGAATGATACCAGGAAATCCATACCCTAAAGGCAGACCCAGCTTGRTCACCGGCACCTTTCCTGTAAGTTCATGCAGTGCTGAACTTTACTTATTTGTACTTGTTTTTCAAACGAAAACTTTTGTGACCTATATTTCCACTTTCTTCTGACRTTTGCCTCTGTTAAACGCCAGGTAWTTAAAAAAGTTWGTCAAATTTGAGAACAAGTTAGGCTTTTTCTATATTTTTTTGAGAAGACGGTCAAAAAGGGTTCAGTTTTGATATTGTTGTTCTTTTAAAGTAAACCAGAATACTTTAAAATCTTAGATTTTCTTTGTGATCACAGGGAATCCCTCCTGAGAAAAAAGAAGATTCCTCRAACAGCATGGAGGGGAAAGGAATCGCTGCGCGGATTATTGGACCTTTCAAACCTGTAAGCAGTAGAATATGAATCACAAACTSTGATGATTTATCAGCCCCAAGAGAAACCTCCTGATGGATCTTTTAATTACCTTACTTATACCGATTAAAGTACAACCTGAACGCAAAATCTATTTTGTCTTTGGTGATGAGATGAGCGTTCTACAATGACACATAATTAATCCAGTTTATATTTTAGAAAAGGAAAATACACATTTTTCTCGACTATTGTTAAGAAATAACTAAGTAAAGCAGTGATTTTTGTTTGTTAAAAACATTTATCAGGTCATTACTGTTATTCAGTTCAGTGTATGTATTATTTTTCTCTGTTCTTTTTTAGTTTCCTTCAACATACAATCCCCATCGACCTGTTCCTTACCCTATACCACCATGCCGACCTCATGCCACTATCGCACCAAGTAAGTCTCGCAAAATATATGTGGCAAAATGGTATAACACGTAATCTAATCCAATATTTATCTCCTAATTGCATTTTAAATATCAATAGCATTCTTTCCAGTCAAATGACATTCTAATTATAACTAAGTAACATTTCTACTAATATAAATTATATTTTCATATTTGTAGCTGGAGGAATCAATAGAAGTAAATAACAAAAGTGATTCCATTTATCTTCTAAAGAATCACATTTAAAGTATTATAGAGAAAATAGACTTCTGGAGCGCTGAAACATCTATTGACTAGGAAAATTGAAATTACAAATAACTTCTTTGAAGATTTCATTAAATGATAACTTGCCATATGGCACCTTCTTTTACTGGCCAACACTTTGTTTTTGTTGACTTGGTTTGTGTTGAGTTCTTTTTATAATGAATGTATTGAGGACGCATATATTATTTGCAACTGCCACTTAGGTGCATACAACAACGCAGGCCTTGTTTCTATGGGAGGGGTAATAACAGCCAACGTGCCCCCTCCCCCCTACAACTCTTCTCACAGAGTAGCAGGTATGATTCAAAGGAGCGACAGCCGAAAGACCGTCTTTAAGCTTGCAGCTAAACTTGCTGGCATGCTGCTTATTTTTGCCTCTCCAGTTTGTGGATTTTATTTAGCCAGGTTTAAGTTTAGTTTTATTATCTGTCGGAACATGCTGATTGACCAGAAAAATACATTTTATTGTCTAAATATTAAAA